CCCTGGGGGCGAGCGAGCCTGCCCCTGTCGACGGCTCCCCCCGAAGAGGGCCCCCTGCAGCGGCTCCCGAGAGTCGGTCTCGCCAGCCTCAGCTTCCTACATGGAAGATCCGCGGGGCTGAAAACCGAAAGGCGGTCGGCTGGCCTGCCGAAGGGAGGAGAAAGGCTCTTTCCTTTCCCCCTTGCTAAGCAACTTAATTTGGGGGTGGGGAGAAGCAGGCAATTAAAAAAAAAAAGAGCAGGCACGGGATTTATTTTTTTCCCTCTATATCCTTAGTAACCGGATCTCCTCGAATTCCGTGCACACGAAGACTCGGAGGAGGGGGCCGAGCGGACTTCACCCCGGCATGAGATGTCTGGCGAAACGAGGAAGGCGCCCTCAAAAGCTAAGAACCCAAAATGAAACACAACCTCCTTGCACCCCGGAGGTCTAGGGGCGTCCGGCTGGAACTGGGGTTGGAAAAAAAAATGTTTACAAAGTCGAACAAGATGTTTCAAAGGGTAGAAAATCGGCTCCACGAGTTACATCCCCCTTCTCTCCTGGTAGAGCCTCGCGGGTCTTCCTCTCCCTTGTCGTCGGCCTCCCCCCCAAAAAAATCGTCTAATTTTTTAATCCACAGAAAGCGTTAGCTCGCTGGTTCCAATCCTTCGCATCTGGGTATTCGGAGGGCGTCTGGTCCGGCCTCCGGCGCTCGGGGGCCCCGGCGGGACTTCCTCGGCTGGCGGGGGCGCTGGGCAGAAGATGCTGCGGCGGCGGCGGCGGCTGCGCCCGGCGGCGCTGACAGCGCGGGGGAGGGCGTCGCGGCGGCGGGTCCCCGGCGGGTCGGCGCGCTCTCGCCCTCCTGGGGCGCAAGCCGCTAGCTAGTGCGGGGGCCAGAGACGCCCCCTCCCCTGGCTGTGGGGATCTGCCGAAGCTCCCCGCATAGGCTGCTCGCCCCGACTCGGCGGCGACCGAAGGCCCGGGTGTCCTCGCGCCGCCTCCTCGGAGACTGCTCGTCGCTCCCCGGAGCCTCCTTGTCCCCGTCCGCCCTCTCCTGGCGCTCGGGGC